TTAGAAGAGAGGGTGTCATCCATGGGTGTTTACATTTTGTTTTCTTTAGTTGTTTTTCTTGTAAATGGATGCTTTTGTTGTACGGTAGAAAATATGTCTATAAATGAATCAAAAGATGAATTAGAATGGTAAAGGTTAGACCAATCTGATTGAGAGAGATCTTGGCTAAATGCTCCTATATCCTTAATAGAATACGAGTAATTAAAAGTATCATTATTTATATATAAATCATAATCAATTATTTGAAAAATAGGTAAATGATCAGAAATATCAGAAATGATAACACCTGATACAATTTCAGAATTAATATGGTTAGTGTAAAAATGATCAATAAGAGTTGCATTATTTTGTGTAATTCTCGTCGGTTTAGATATCGTAGGGAAGAAAGAGTTTGATAAGATACCATTTAAATAATTATTTATAAAATTTTGATTATGAAACTTGATTAAATCTATATTGAAGTCTCCCATAATATTACAAAATTTATTTTCATAATTTAATTTTAAAAGCAGTTCATTTATTATGGCAGTAAAATTGTCAATATTTGAATCCGGCGGTTTATAGATAATGACAATGATATTATTCTTTTTCCTTTTGTTAAGAATTTCAATAAAGAGGGAATCACATATTTCTTTTGGCAAAATTAAATCATGTCTTAACTTGAAATTAATTTCATTTTTAACGAATAATCCAACCCCTCCTCCTGTTCGACCAATACGATTACAAGATAAAAAATTATATCCTTCTAAAAATGGATTATTTTTTTGGTCGTTTAACCATGTCTCAGAGAGACCAATGATAGAAAATTTGAGGTTGATGTAATTAAAAAGCTCTTCCAATCTGTCATGTTTATTTGACACACTTCTAACATTGAGGTGAAAAAGGGATAATGATTAGTGCTTTTATTCTTTATAAATTGGTTAAATTGATTAATATCAAAGTATTTGCACATATCAAATGTGGATGATCTAAGGTTAAGGTGATTAACTAGCATTTCAGATTGTTCATCAAATTTGAAGTCATCATCAAATAATGGGTTAAAAACAGGATTATACATTTCAGGAGATTTCAATAAAACATTAAATAATTCATTAGAATAGTCTACCCCGTGAAAAGGTAGATTTATAAACTCATTATTTGCCATTTATCACATAATTTTTAAGATATTTAACATACAATATTTGCGCTATATATATCAGTCGAGAAAAGGAATACAATAACAAGATAATGAAAATAATAATACTAGAATATAAATATGATGACCATATAACATCTTGCATAATTTAATAAGTATGTACTATCATTAAAACGCAATCGTACGTAAAATTAACCCCACAAATAAGATCAATACCCACAATCTGCAATCCAGCTCTACTATAATAATCAATCAGGTCTGTTCAATGAATTCACCGGAGTACAGTGTCCCTTCTCCAATCAGGCAGACAGTTATCATTCTCATTCAGTTAGTTTCCAAATTCAAATTCAAATTATCAAAGGAGCCATGGCCCGGGATTTATCAATCTCAGCTTAGCAAATGTCTTAGGTGAAAAAAAGTTAAGATGTCCCAAAGCAAATATCTTAAGCTGATTTATTAAACCATCTTAGCAAAATCTTAGCTTAAAAATCCTCATAGATGGCGCATTCGTACAATCAACTTTTTAATTTTAAGCAATTTTTAAGCTAAGCAATAATTATTGATAAATCTGATTTGAGCAAAAAAAATGGACATAAGACAAATTTAAAGCTGATTTCGAGTTTGATAAATCCGGCCCCTGAAATTAATTGCAACATATGACATTTGCGGATTACACGTTAATAATTAAAAATAATACCGGTAATAATACCGGTAATAATAATAGTAATAATAATAACACCAATAATAATAATAATAATAATAATAATAATAATAATAATAATAATATTAATAAGGTAAATAATAAAACACCAATAATAATAATAATGTTATTATTATTATTATTATTATTATTACTATTATTATTATTATTATATTATTATTATTATTATTATTGGTGTTATTATAATAATAATAACACCAATAATAGTTAATTAAAAATGTACTTCAGTTTTCCACAGAGTTTATATTTGGGCGTATCAATACAATAACGTCAAGCATTAACCATCAAATTCTTATATTCCAATACAATAATTATACTATCATAATCAATAATAAGACAAACCAAACTATCAATCGATATTCTAAGCAGAACCGTAAATGCAACATAATTAGCACGTGATAAACCTATTACATTAAATTTCTGTATTTTCAGCTTACAGTTTACTGGCTCCTCAAAAATACATAAACTTGGCCTTCTTAGTTCAAAGTGCTGTGTATATAATTTAAACTGTTTATAAGAATTGGAGCTAACGCTTGAATTTAATTTTATATTTTCCCTGTGCTATCGCAATTACGACCCACTCTAATTGAGTCTCTCCAAAGACCTACACCTCCTTATCCCGAATTTCAAATTTCCAAGTAATCCGTACCACGCTCGTACGCAAATTAACAATTAAATATCATATATATTATAGACAATACCCATCAATCCCAAGCTCCCCTTACACGGACCAGTGCACAATTTAAAGTTCACATGACAACAGCGCCCATGTTGTCATGACAACATATCAATATTCTAGATTTCCACTCTCTTGTGACAAAGTTAGTTACATATTTGCCGTCGAGGCAAATAAGTTACAGAAATATGGTGGAAAATGGTAGATGTCAATGATATTTTATCCATATAAACAAGATAATAATAATAATAATCTTATCGAGTCACTACGTAGCTAGTGTGTATGATCTTGCTTACGTACCGGTAGTGTGGTAGAAGGATTCGCAGGTAGGATGGATACCTGACATGGGCGGCCGCGGCGTAAGCGCTCCTGTGACCGGACGAGGACTGGAAATGGACTAGTACACCGGTGTAACCCCCTGCTCTTCTCGAATGATGTACTGGGTTCTTTAAAGTGCACACGAGCCAATTGTGTACACTGGACGGTTTAGAGTCCTTATCCGAGAAGACTTGTTTCACCACCGGAACCATAGGCGAGCGTGCCGTTCGAACCAACGCCGATATTATGGCTGTATGTCACGCGGTTCCCCTGTCTTAACCGCTCGGCCAACCGACTCGACCATAATTATAATAATAATAATAATAATAATAATAATAATAATAATAATAATGATAATGATAATAATAATGATAATGATAATAATAATAATAATAATATTTCAGAGTTATCCTTCATAATATCTATTTACCGGTACGTTATCAAGTAATTTGTTTTTGACTGTGTTTTTTATTTATTTATTTATTTTTTTTTTGTTTTTTTTTTAATCAATAGGTGACTGGGATTTAATTAGAAATATTTTAACATTTTGCAGCGGAAGCAGATGTTAAAGTTAAGGCATGTGTTGATGAGGCTGTCAATGAAATCCAAGCAGCAGGCCTACTTACCAGTCATTTTCCCTCTTCTCCTCCCCTTTCCTCTTCCCTTCCCTCTCCCCTCCATCTCAATTTTACGTGACAGGTGACGGCCCTATTGTCAATACGGGTAGTAGGCCTCAATATCAATATTTATCATTTAGAAAAGTGAAGTGTTAAGACAAATTAAGATACTAAATTACATGCCTGCGCTTGAAGTCGTCCGCAGAATGAGGTTTACATCCATTCTGTACCGTATTCAGTGTGTCCAAGGACTTAACTGTAGTCAAAAGTCCTTGGTGGGACTCAGAAAAAAAAATCGCATAGATACAACTAGACGAATAATAAATGAAATGGTTATTAGCGCGTGTGTGCCTGTAAGCCAGCAGCCTCTAGGAGATTACATCTACCAGACCGTGGCCGTAGGCCTACTCTTCTTCTGAACTGACAGAAATGATCGAGAGGGCGGGAGTGGGGGGTTCGGGCGCTTGTTGTTACCATATCATACCAAGTAGACACACTTTGAGGAAGTAGTGTACCTACAGTAGGCCTACTAGTAGTTAACTACACATACTGGGAAGTGGCAGCGAGTTATTAACTCTTGCCAATCTGTCATTAAATTTCATTAAACGATGAAGAACGCGTGTAAAAACGTAGATTCTTTAAATAGGGCTATAATAAACATGTATGAAAACAGGCTGTATAAATGCCTACTGTGATCTAATGTGTGTAGATATGCTAATCAAAATTTTGAGCTTGCACTATATTTATATTTATTAATCATTTTACAATAGAATTGTATACGTACACTATTCAGCATCAACCAAGGAAAAATTAATTTTGCCAGTTTATTATTTCTGATAATTGAACAATTTTATGTTTTTTAAGTTGTTTGTATTTTCAAGCATCTGTCTTGAGTGATGTCATAATAATTTGCGGAGTACATTTCGACTGTCACCAAGTGCGTATGAAATAAATGTAGGCCACATGGCTCTATCTCAGCCAATCAAGGAAGAGGAGCTCAGTATGTTGCACTTCGACACGCATAGAAGGAATAATGTAGGCTCAGTTTATTAAATCGGAGAGAGCAAATTGCAGTAAAATTCGAAATTCTTAACTATGTGGCGTGCCCCTGACTTCTCTAGCACATTCATAGATGTGATCCTCCTGAGGCGAAAGATATTCAGATTCCGTTGCTGGTATCTCCCGAGCTCGCTTGGTGATTGGCATTGTATCAACTGCCACCGGGTTGATTGACATCATGTACTGAGCTTTGTTTATTTCTTGATAAAATGTATCCTCTTTATTTTTAGGTAAGTAAGTCATATATTTCTATTAAAAAAAAATCAAATTTATAAATTTATTTCCATTAAGTCAACAAATTAGAATAATACACTGTTATTTTCAAGGAGCTACTTTAACTCCAACAGAGTTATTCTCTACCTACAAAGGTACAGAACTCCCTTGAAAATAACAGTGAACAATTCACATAGGCCTAAATACTGCTTATTGTATATTTAATATATTGGCTTTCAACTGAAAATCATGTCCAGATTATCAAATCTTCTTTGAAAAAAAACTACCGGTACATAGGCCTATTACAGCATTATTTTAGTCCAAAACTCTATAATTACGAAGTCAATCTGTACAAAGCAAGATTGATTGTTGAGGATAATAAACAAAGTCATGGACAGAAACTAAAATAATATCACAAATAAAGAATAACTGGAATATTGTGATTGCAGAACTAATTTAACCATGGAGAAAATAATAAAATAGATTATTTTATTTTAGACTATTTTATTTTCTCCATGATTTAACTGTTGTTTTGGTAAGTCCGAAGATGATAACATCAGTACTTACCTTTGTTTTAACTCTATTTTCATCATTCGAATGTTTCTATGATTAAAAGAAGTGTAATACAATGTATTAATTTACATTTGTACTATATTATTTTATTTCCCAGTCATTGCTTGTAGATTAATATCCTCGTTCATGTAAAGAGCATGATAGCTCAGTTGGATAACTGTTCGTTAACTATTGATTATTTCTAGCCCACGTATGAAAATCTTAAGCCGTTGATTCCCATTTGAGTAATTTCACAGTAAATGGACATGGTATCTAACATTTTCATGGAAAAATAGATTACATTGTGTGCCATTACACAAACCAAATTAATTATTTTTTTAATAAAAAGGGTTTTATTTTTCTTTCTAGTGTTTTATCCTAATAGTTTCCAATATATTTCTGATAGAAATAATGGGCTCCATCCTTATAATACATTAAAAAAAATATACTACATCCAATTTTAGACATTTTTGTCTTGTCACACTTTTGTATGGTGAAATATGGCTATTTATCAATATTTTTTTTTACTGTGAATTGTATGATTATGAAATGGTTTTTTAATATGTAGGCCTATACTCATTTATATGATAATATAAATGTAAAAATATTTCATTTTAAACAATAACATTTTTAGTTATACCTTGCTAAAAAATATTGCTTGGGCCATGTCCATTTACTCTGAAATTGCTCATGTACAAAATAACTCATGTACGTATGCACACTCTTAGACTGGGTTCCAGTCCCTAAACTTTGTCTTAATCAGTTAAAAAGCTTGAAAAATCGATTTTAGCACCAATGGCGTTCCATATTACCTATTTGCTTAGCGTTTCATAGTATACATTTTCTTGGATTATACTCTTTCTTGGATCTAATTCGCATCAAAAAAGTTTCTCGACATAAACTGACGCTGGTGGCGCATTCCAAAATGCGCTAATACTACGAAAAATCAATAAATTGACTAACACCAACAGAATATTTCTTGAGTCAGAAAAATGTGGCGCTGTACTGTAACTGATGTACCTCCTATGTTCTTTACCCGAATTTCTTAATTACTAGGACCAATGTGTTACATAATATTTTACATTCGTTTTTCATTATTATTTTTCTGTATGCAAAATGATTTGATGTAATAAAGTGAATAAAGTATAATTTATAGTTTATTTTATATATTAAGGTTGTTGATTAGGGCCTATACCTTTTTATAGTGAATAATGGTTTCTTACCATACAGCAATGAACTGTAACTCCAGATATTAAACAACCGATAAGAAATGCCCCTATCATGATACAGATTTCGAACACCGTGACGTCATTGTGCATGTCACTTTGAGAGCCTATACATATAATATTCAACATATATTGTTATGAATGTGTTAACTCAATACGGACGACGATTGTTTTACAACAATCCGGCAGACAACCAAACACAATATTTTACACTATAAAAAAAACCTAAATACATGTATTATTATTATTTTCTTTTTTTTGGAAACGACACTTTTACAACAGTGGTAACGGTTTGTACAAACAAGAAGAAAAAAACTTAACAAATAGTAATATACCTTTCTTGTAAAAGTACGATGTTTTTTTGTTGTTGAAAGAGAACTGTTCCATACAGAACAAAGGTAGGTCTTTATTTTTCATAAAATGGTTTGTTCATAAAGATAATGCTTCCCGTTGCACTATTAAACATTCATTTTGTATAATGATGTGTGAACACAGTAACATACGGAGGATTTAAAATTTTGCAAATGGTCGATGTAACGAATAATAATAATGAGTATATGTCATGTAGAATTGTTTAGCTAATCTTCATACACAGTATGTCACAGAGATCTGGATACCTTTACGCTTTTTATACCATTTTCCCATTAAAACTATAGAATTTAGTTTAATAATTTTTATTATTACAAAGAAGTGCATATTCTCACCTGTATTTTCTTCGAAATCGCTACACTTCACACAGCACTTTGTGGTAGCGAAAAAAATTTGTTCCCATATTCTGCCATTGTTGCCGTTAACGTAAACTCGGAGTTTGTAGTCTGTTCCAGGTTGGAGGGAATTCACACGATACGAGTTGTACCCTTTTACATCACTCTCACTAGATTTCCACGTTCCATTGGTCCATATTCCAGCTGAAATATATTCTACGTGGATGAAGATATCCTCTGATCTGTTCACGATATCTTTATTCCAATTCCATTGTATATCCATGCTGTAACACGTAATGTTGGCAATATTTACGGAATTCAATAGACGCTGGGGTGGTAGAGACGCACCTAGAAAGTTGATGTAAAAATATATTTTCATGTAATCTATTTGAAGCATAATTGGTACATAAAGGTAGCTCTTCTACTTGCAACAATCTTAAACAAAATTAATTCACTACTGTCTATTTAAAAGCGTTTTTCTTACGAACAAATACATAATGTAAAATGTAGGCCTGCAGTATCCATAGTGTTTCCATGGCAGGCTTGGTAATAATGATACATCCACCAATCCGACTAGAAAATTTAATCGTTATATTTTTAAATAAATATTATGCCATTTAATTTGATCAACTCACACTTAACACTAAGATATGTGACTGCATACTTAGGCTCGCCAACGCCATTGGAAATTGTACACATGTAGAAGCCTTGGTCCCTTTCACAAGAAGCATTTCTGATGTTCAACAAAGAGTAATTGCTTAATTCAACTCCAGAGACTTTGGTCCATCTATACGTCACATCGTCTGGATTACCAGTTCCCGAACACACTAGGCGAACATCGTCACCTTCATTTGCTGCAAACCCGTCTTCAAGTTCTTCAAGATTCGTGAATTCTGCTCCATCTGTTTTTAAATAACTAAATTTGTCAGTATTTGAAAACTAATCGTTTGTATTTATATCCATTTTGGCCATAATACATACAGAATTATATAAATTGTAAACTTTAAAGAAGAGGAAACTGCGAGAAAGGAAAAAAAATAGTCGTCCCAACTACAATTACCCAGGGCCTCATGCTTTTGTATGCCTCACCTTATAACGGTAATATAAATAATGTTACTTTAGAGTCTAAAAACCGTTGACGAATTCCTAGTTATAGAACTAATACATTAAACGCCTTAGGTGATCATTAATAATAAAGAGTGTTGTATACGTCTTCACAATATTAAAGCCTTAATATGTTGAGATAAGTAAACAAAACCTTTATTGATAATCGCAGATAGTAATAGTATGACAATGCTGAAACTGGGCGATATCTAATAGCCTTATAACGTATTATGGTGATGAATATTCATGAATTATACATATAAAAAGTGTTAATATTATGATTTGGAGGTGGTTTGGCGCAGTGGAACTGATTTCCCAACATCGAGGTCGGGGTTTCGATCGTTCGCTGTGCATTTCGCTTGTGTCCTTAAGCAAGGCAGTTTATCTATATTGCTTCAGTTTACCCAGGTGTATAAATGATACCAGCAAATTGATGGAGATAACCTGCGGTGGACCACCCCAGGGGGAGTATTGCACTCCCATCCGCTTCACGCTACAGAAACTGGGGATAAGCTCCTGCCAGGAAGATGTAAAAATCCCTGTTCCTAGTGGCTCGGCGAGGATTTACTTTGTTATTAACAATTACTTAATCTGATTATCCTCTAATATGTAATACATGAAACATCTATAATAATTATAAATATATAAGATTCATTTTCGCTTTCTGTTTATACAATATAGAAACAAAATCGAGAGAAAACATTGCCATGAACCTGGAGAACAAATTTGTTTATAATGTTCACATCAGCAAATTTTCGGAATCAAAATGTCACTTATATACGCCACTTGACTTCGCCTATTTTGAAGTGCACATGCGTAAGTTGCTTGGACCTCTCATGCTGTGCCTGTTCTAATGTAAATACATGGAACCGACCGATTTTGCATGGCTGTCAAAACGTAACGAAAGTTATCTTATTTGCATATTTTCTCTTACGTCATAGGTTATTTCAAAAACTCCGTCATATTATAATGCGGTATTGAATTAGATAGAAAACACACTGGGAATACTTACAAAGAACGTGCAATCTGAATTCATGAGGAAGAATAATTGTTACGTCTACGAATTCAAACAGAGAACACAATGAAAAACAGTAAAATTCGTTTAACATTTCAGTCTTCTATGAAAGTGCAACAAACCCCACCCCACCCCCCACAAAATAAAAGAACCCCGAAAATATATGTTAGCAACCAAATAAAAAAATAAATTATAGGCCTATATGAAATTTGTGCTCATTAATTTATCAATCTCAATTTCAATATAACAAACCCCGAAAATAACATTTATCAAAATTATGATTGAAATTGTATTACAAATAAATATTACGGTATCTTTTGTCCACGTGCAAAATATATGTTTGCGTATCGGCATGTTTCACTGCTATTTTGTTTTTGAGAGTTAAAATAAAATATTGTTTATATAGTAATTGTAAAACAAATACCTCCATCCATGTCCTATTGAGATTTATTTTGGCTATACTTAATTTTCATATGACATTTTTTGAAATGAAATAGTAGAAATATTAAATCACAGTAGATATGATCTTTTTTTTTTAATGAAATTTAGCCAATTCTTCTTACCTCCGTTTTTACTTGGTACCAGGGAACAAGATATAGTGTATTCGACGCGATTCTTATCAACATGTATCAATGCCGTGTACACGCTATCATAAAACCCATCATTTGTATTGTTGTTCAGTAACATACGGTTTGTTGAAAGTATGCCGGGTCCACTCAAAGTCATAGTCAAATCTAAAATTTTAAAAGATGTCTTGGCGATGCACTGCAGCATCGCAAACCCTTTCTCAATGTCAATTGCGTCTGTAGATGGGATGACGTCAGTGGAGTAAAATTG